GAAAGTTGGGTTTTGACGACCATGTCATCTACATAACACTCCACCTTTTGGTCAATTAATGGCTCAAACAGTTTATTTACAAGTCTTTGGAAGGTCGCCCCGACATTTTTTAACCCGAAGGGCATGACCTTATAACAGTACAGGCCGAGCTCAGTTATGAAGGTAGTTTTCTCCTCGTCTGTTGGGTCCATCCTGATCTGATTGTAGCCCAAGTAGGCGTCTAGAAATCTCAACAACTCATGCCCCGAGGTCGCGTCCACTAGGTGATCAATCCTAGGGAGTGGGAAGCAGTCCTTTGGGCAAGCTCGGTTCAGGTCGGTGTAGTCGACGTACATGCGCCATTTACCGTTAGCCTTTTTCACCAGAACGGGGTTGGCCACCCAGCTTGGGTAATGGACTTCCCTGATAAAATCGGCTGCAAGGAGCTTCCCGACCTCCTCATCGATTTCCCTCCACCGTTTTGGGGCTAGGTTGCATTTCTTTTGCTTAACTGGCCTAATTACAGGATCAATATTAAGCTTATGAGTTATAATGTCGGGGTCTATGCCGGGCATTTCTGCCGCGGACCAAGCAAAAAACATCTAAATTCTTAAGTAAAAAACGTACCAGTTCGGACCGCAGGGGCTCCTTGACGGAAGCGCCAATCTAAAGCGTTCGGGTAGGGTCCTCTGCCGAGGTCGGAATGGAGACAGTCTCCTCCGTGGGTGCAGCTCGTTCCTCGCTCTGCTCCGCATGTCGCTCTAGCTCGAGGTCGTCGGCCACCTTAGCTTTTCCCTTGAGGGCGGCAACATAGCACTTGCGGGACTCAAGCTTGTCACCCCGCGCTACCCCGATACTGAAGTCCGTGGGGAACTTCATGGCCAAGTAGTAGGTGGACACCACAGCCCGTAAGGCATGGGTAATCGGTCGACCTACTATGGCGTTGTATGGGGAGGGGGTCGCGACCACCAAAAAGTCGTGGTTGAGCCTTACAATGCTAGGCCAGGTGCCGACTTCCACAGGTATTGTTACTCTTCCTAGGGGCCGAACTTCCTCTCCACTGAAGCCAACCAGGGGAGTGTTTGCGGGCTTTATGTCGCTCTCCTGAATCTGGAGTTTGTCGAAGGCCGCTTTGAAGAGGATATCCGTCGAACTGCCTGAATCAACGAGGACTCGCTTGATTTCGAAGTCGTTGACCCTCATCTTTATGACCAGCGCGTCGTCATGAGGGTAGTGGACCCCACACGCATCGTCCTCTGTGAAGAAGATGGGGTCTTCTATCCTTGGCCGTTTTGGAGGGTTCTGCTCTTCCCTGCTGGATTCACGAGCTGACGCGCGGGCTGCTGCTGAAGTGCAACCCGCCACAATCGATTCCCCGACTATGACATGGATGATCCCCCGAATTGGTCTCTCTTCGGGGGGCTGCTTCTGCGGTTGCTCCGCTTATCGGCTGGATTCGGGGTCGTCTCTGCCTTGCTCCCCCTGTCGACCTGCTTTATTATTATTGTACAAAATTTCATAAATATCCGCGACGGATGAGCTCTTCTATTTCATCGCGGAGGTTTTTACAACTCTCTGTACTATGACCGTGGTCTTTATGAAAACTACAATACAAATTTTTATTCCGGATGCTAAGGTCGGCCTTCAGCCGAGGTGGCCACTTCACATATGGAGCGTCCTTGATCGCCATGAGGATCTCGGCCTGTTTTGTATTGAGGGGCGTGTAGTCCCTTTCTACTGCTAGGGCTCGGGAGGGTTGGACTGGCCTCACCCCCCGAGCTATGTCCTTCTTCTTCCTGTTGTCACCCTGAGACGGGGGTTCTGGTTCCCTCTTTCTTTTTTCTAGGGCCTGTTCACCCTTTTGGTTGATCTCCTCCTCAGTCCCAATAAACCTATCCGCGAGCTTAAGGAACTCGGTTACGGTTTTGGGTTGGTTGACAACTACGTGCCACTTGAACTCCTTATGGGTGATACCTCGCTTAGCTGCTATGAGGCATACCGCGGGATCCAGGTCGGGTATCTGTAAGCAAGCGTCATTGAACTGCTTGATGTAGCTCCGGATGGACTCCCCTTCCTTTTGCACAATGCCGAGGAGGCTTTCCTGAGTTCGCGGGCATCTCTTGCTGGTGACGAAGTGGGAGGTGAAGACCTGCACGAACTGCGCCCAGCTTCTTATCGATCCTGGCACAAGGTTTTGGTACCAGGTGCGGGCCACTCCTTTGAAAGTAGTGGAAAAGGCCACACACATGCAGGACTCGCTAGCCCATGCCAGGTGCATCTGGGACTGGAAGGCGTCCACATGGTCATTTGGATTGAAAGACCCATCATACTTGTCCAGAGGAGGGAGCTTGAAATCCTTTGGCATGGAGACAACAAGGAGTTTTGGAGATAACGGGGAAGAAACCGAGAGGAGGGGGTAGCTTTCACTTCAGCCAAGCACACCTCCTCCTTTCCTTTGAGCTCGGGAGAGGCTCTGGAAGTGGTTCGGCGAGCTCGCCGGCGCCTTCGCTGCTGCTTTGCTGGTTTGGCGTTGGTGCTCGATGCTTCGGTGTTGCCGAGCTCGATAGGCTCGGACTGTTGGTGACGGCTCTGGACCGAAGGGCCCTGTCTATAGCCCGCTGCTAGGACCTCAAACAGGTTATCCGCTAATGGGAGTTCGAACTGCGAAGGTTGTGGTGACACGAACTTTGTTGGGTGAGAGGCCCCTGACCCGCCCGCAGGCTGCGAGGCGGGTGCCGAGATGGCAGCCGGCCTCTCTTTCTTGCCACGGGAAGAGGCGCGACTCTTGGCTGGATCTTGGCCCTGGGAGGCTTCTTCCCGACGAGGCCGCTCACTTCGGCGGGTTGGTTTGGCCTACTTCGTGGGCGGGTGCCGAGGTGGAAGCGACATCTGGGCCTGAGGCATAGAGGGAAACTGCTGCTGGTACTGGTACTGGGAAACCTGGTGCAACACTTGCTGTTGGTAGAGTTGAAACTGTTGGAACTGTTGCATTTGAGCCTGCATGGCCCACATGCATTGCACTAAGTCCTCCAGTTGGTTCAGGTTGGCCGCTGGGGGCACATCCGAGGGTTCAGTAAAGGTTGCTCCTACAGTAGAAGGGAGCGGAGCAATGGCGGGTGCCACTATAAGAGGCACATTCAGACTGGAGACTCCGTCCACGATGAGGGGGACGATAAACTGTCCAATGCAGACAGTAGGAAGCTGGGGCTGCTCCCCACTAGTGTTCTGGCTGTTGCCACGTCCGACATTGTTGGAAGAAGCCATGAAGAATGCTAAGTTTTTGGAAGAAAAGTGCTGTAAAAGCTTGGAGGAAAGCTTTTAGAAGCTTTTCCTACAGGCGGCGCCAAATGATGCGGCACGATTCGGGCACTCCTAGCTGGCTGTTGACTGGCTCCTTGTTGGCAACAGACGACACCTGAGAAGATGAAAAGAAGGATTCCTGGGGATTTACCCGGAGGGAATACTTCGAAGCTCAAGTCAGAACGTTGGGGAAGGAGAAAAAAGAGAGTGCGAAAGCAAAGAGTGTAGGTCGCGCTTTATCACTATGCTCGAGAGATTAACTCGCGAGCAAGTAAAGACTCAGGTTGAGAATATGAGAGTGCGGGAGTATTCAAAAGTCTGAGAGATCTCTCTTCTCCTTTGCCTCAAGAGCTTTTATAGGGGAATTACTGTCAAATCGGGTGTAACCGCCACTGGGCCCCTGCCGCAGCCGTTACCTGCCAGGGCTGCGCAGGTGATTGTTGCAACGTACCTCTTGCTCGGATGAGTGACACATCTTAAAGGGGGCAAGCACGCCTCCGCCTGTTGAGAGACGTGGGTGCAGACTATCGAAAGGACAGGGACTGCGTCGTCAGTCAAGAGACGTGGCGCAGTCTGATCGGTACGGTTTGTCAGGTAGAAGCTTCCTGAGAAACGCCTCCGTTGCTCATTCGCGAGCTACTTTGTAGCGAGCTTAGGAATACTTCGGGGTTACCCTTACTAAGGCTGTTCTCTGGGGTGACTTATTCGCTTAGGGGCTGGAGCGAACTGGTTTCCCTAGCTCGCGAGCTGAAGCAGTCTTGGAGTATCCCCTTCGGGGTAGCTCGGGGGGACCCGAAGCTTGTGTTGTAGCGAGCTCCTCCTACAGCGAACTATGATATAGCGAGCTGCTCTATGGGCTCGTTACTTAGTCGTGACCAGGCTATGATGCTGAGCTATTGCCCGTGTTGAGTCAGGTCCACGTGTCATCATTTCATAGGTCGGGTTAAATCATCCTCCATCAACATCAATACACACAACATAATTTATCTTTTCTGTTGTTCGTTCATCTCTGAGCATTATTTCTAAGTAATTCGTGAAAGTCTGGTAAACGAATGCATACTTAACAGAAGCCTGTGGACAATTTTATCTTGACGATCGATTTACATTCACCCAATTGCAACATATATAAGAGATAAGTGCAATTTTAGGAAAAATGACCAAATGGCACAACTCAATTCTCAATTTCTCAACATCAATACTATGCAATTCAAGTTTGAAAAGCATTGAGTGATAAATTCCATTCTCACTTCCATTTATTATTTATACATGGCCAGTTCTACTAGGGGCCATGAAACTGAAATAGCTAAGCACCAAGTGTGGTGTACTTTGAAACCGATCCCACCACACAAAGGCATCAACAAACCACACATCCCTCCAGCAATGGGAGCTCCTCTTTCTTTCTGTCATCTCTGGCCAATCTGACGAAATAGGTGGCCTTTCCAGCCACGTACTGCAGATGAACTCCACGTGAAGGACATGCATGCTAGTGCACGTAGCAATATTTGAGTGCAATGACGTAATGCCATCATAAAGGAGTATATAATCCATTCGTGTCCAAACAGAGCCAATGAATCAAAAGGCGAATCCTAGTGGTATTTTAAGTTTTTTTTTTTTTTCTTTTCTATTTAACAATGATCATCCATTCATCTTTCGTTAACATTATTATGACATACCAAAAGAGCGTTGGACATGTGGAGGAAAAGCAATTGAGGACAAGAAAGTGAAAAGAAATTTCTTTTTTCTCCCCTCCTGAGTAGAATAGATAACAAGGTGAGAAAAATGGCATATATCTTCCCTTCCTGAGCACAGTTGATATTGTTACAGCATAAAATTAAAACAAAAACAAAACAAAGCAAAAAAAAAAAAGAGAGAGAAGGGCTGGTTTATGAATGGCATCTTCAGAGTTCAGACTTGAATCATGCACACCCGGGACGTTGTCTTAGGCTTCTGGGTTGTTTCCAAAACCTGGCTGGAAGTCCATGCTGAGGGACCGGAAATGGGCCATACTGAATCCCACTTTGAGATCCTTCCACTTCCCACCTGCAACCAAATTCATCCACACCAACAAAGGGTGTTATCAAATTATTCTACATTTTCAGGAACATCTGGCTCTACTAAAACCCATGAAAAACCCATGTTTTTTTTTTTTTCTTTCTTCTAAATAAATCTCTTTGGCTAATCTGGATTAACATTTCCCAGATGTTCTTTTTATGAGATTACACTCTTGAGTTATGATATTAACAAGGATGATCCATTTGTTGGAGTATTGGGAGGATCTGCTGGCCGGTTGCCCTAAGTTTCGGGACTGCTGAGCTAAACATTTAGGATGGAATAGTCTACTTGATGATGCTCCTATATGCGTGCCTCTTCTGTTGTTGACACACCATGGTCCATGGCCGTATACTGTTGATATATATGCATTATTCTGAAAGAGACTATTCCATCCCTCTCTATGATATGTGTTTCGTACCTGAACTTTGTCACCAGATGATGGATCAAAATAAGCATCTCCAGCTTGGCAAGCTCATTCCCAGGACATGCATGAATTCCATTCCCAAATGGCATGAAAGTATTGGGTATTGGTGCAACCTGCATAAGCCATTGGAGGAGGAGAAAATAAAGGGAAAAAAAGGAGAAAGGAAAATCAATTCTCTCTCTTCCATGAAAGTGGAAGGATGGAATTCTATGTTTAAGTACTAGTGCTTTGCTTAATGTACTAATATAATCAATCTTTAACACCCGTACCTCGAACCTTGAAGGATCAAAATTCTGAGTATCAGGAAAGAATTCCGGATTGTGATGAATATTTCTGAATAAGGGCATCACCTTCCAACCTTTTGGAATGAGATATCCTGCATGTCAGAATTCCCAACATCTGTCAGTTTTATGAAAGGAAAAGAAAATTAAACTTGCAAGTGCCCAAGTCTCTAGCTTATATAATTTTCCTTGTATATTATATATTCTGCATTTCTACCTTTGTATTCCACATCGGCCACTGCTTCCCTAAACGTGAACGATATGATGCTTGCCATCCTCAAGCTCTCTAATATAACCTGGTTAAAAATTAACAGACGTTCAGTTGGTTGTATCAGAAGCAATGAGTACTGTTAATTAATTAAGCTTCACTATCTGGAATCAATACTAAATTCAGATTAATTAATGTTAACAAGTTATGGCATGATGAGACAATACATATACATACCCTATAAGTAAGGTGCATATTTCTAGTCTGAGCCCATGTCAAGGATCGGTTTCCTCCATCGTTGGATTCGAGTAATATTGCCTTGTGTTCAGCCTGCAACAGAATATTAATTAACACTGATTTACTATTTGATCCAGGGCTGCTTAATTAATTAGCAGTAACTCATCAAAGCTCGAGAAAGAAATCTGGAGAGAATTAAGGAAGCTTGTTACAGCTGTTACCTTGACAGCTTTCCGAAGTTTTGGGTTATCATGGAGGTATTTGAGAATCCAAGTAAGGACACTGGCAGTGGTGTCTTGAGCGGCGAACAGCACCCCGATGATGTTATCGGCGATTTGATCGTCTGTCAAGATGTTTCCCTTTTCGTCTTTGGAGTTCATGAGACAACCCAAGAGATCCTTCTCCACTAGTTTCTCCTTTTTGTGATAAATTATCTCGCTTAGGATCTGATTTAGCCTCTTCCTCGCCTGTGGCAGTAATGCACAACAAACAGGAATACAGAAAAGCACGCAATCAGCTGGCCCGGACAGCTCACATTACAAGGTGGTATGGTAGTAGTACTTTGATTCATCACTTACCAAGATGGCCTTGCGATATGGAGTTCCCGGTATGTTTGTTGAGAAAGAGTTATAGCCTTGGTCTAGTATGGAGTAGTTCTTCTCTAACTGTTGTTTATAATAAGCGTCCAAGCTGCCAAAAACGGCGAGTACACCGACGTGGAAAGAGAACTGCCGAAAGATGAAGCAGGAGGACCATTAATTTAGTGGAGCTGTAATAGGTAGATTCATAATTGAAAGCCCATTGACAAAACCAGAAAAAGGCCAAGAGAAATTAACTCATCTGAGAAATCAATCATACATGGAATAAGACAGCACGAGCTTCGCGTTACAGAAAAGCTTAATTAATAACCATTTCATGTTAAAAACATCTAAGAAATTAAACCAACCTTCTTCATTCCACGAAAGGTGTTAACAAGGTCACCGCCGGACCATGACTCCAACGTCGAAACGGCAATGGCTTCAATGTCGGGGACAAGTTTCCGGATGGCCTCCGGAGCCAACGAGCTCTGAACCAACCTTCTGAGGCGAGTGTGGTAGTCTCCTTGGTGAAAAAACAGAGCACATGGACCGATCATTTGCTCCTTGCTTTCTGGGTACGTCGGTTTGAACAATTGAGCTCGAGTTACCAACACGAAGCGAGCGGCCTCGGGGCTCGCCAACATAACACAAGGGCAGCCAAGTATGTGAGTCTTGAATATCTCCCCGTACCTATATAATATATGTATATATGTATATATATATATATATATATATATATATATATATATAATATATAAAAAAAAACACCAATAAAACCATGCACCACCGTCAAATTCAGTTCGTGCACACAATTAAAAAGCTCGAGACAAATTAATAGTGACAATATACAAAATTAATACAAACCTTTTCTGCTTAGCAGCAAAGAATACATTTGGATCCTGAGAGTAGAATTGAAGAGTCTCTCCAATATAAGGCCATCCCATTGAACCTGGTGGAAGCTTGTTTTTTTGTTGGGATTTGCTCTTGTGCTTCCTCAAGTAGAGATACAAGACAAGGGTGGGGAGAAAAAGGATATGAATAGCCAGGACTCCAACCACATCCATCTCTTACACAAATGCAACAACTCTCTCTAGGCCTGTGTTGGTTGTGGAATGTATCGGCGTTGCTATAGTGAAGGAATATGGTTGTGGGTTTGAGTGGGGTGAGGGAGAGAGAGGTTGGAAGGGTTTATATAGAATTTAGAAAAGGGGGTAGTAGATAGAGAATTAGTAAATGTTTTTATGTGTGTCAAGATTCGTGTTAGGCTAGCTGTTATCTAAAATTGTGGAGGGGTACCTGGGTTAACCTATGCCAACTCAAATGTTTTGCTAGGAATTGAATGTCCTACATAAATATATATGATAATATTCAAATATAATAACTTACCTACGTCAACCACATTGTTTACTACATGACATGGGCATGACCACTATCCTCCCCCAACACACTATCTAGCTATATAGCTTTGTGGACCCAAAGAACCAGGTTTCGTTGAATCGAGCTTTGAGTATTTTGTTTTGCTTACACCTCCTCAGCCCTCACTCAAGACTCAAGGGTTGCAGCACATGGGCTTGCTTCATCTGTCTTCTCTGGTCCCACTTATTCCTCTTAGCTTTCTAGTGCACCCATTTCCAGCTTATTAGTTCCTTCTTAAAACTAATAAAGGTGTAATTGAGTAGATTTAGAATAAATACTTGGTTAGTTCTTGATAGACATTGATACTTATCAACTTGTTTTAGGCTCTCTGTTTCCTCAAGTTGTTATTATTGTTTCCTTGCAATGAGTGGCTCTGTTGAAGAATGGATTAATTTTGGACTATTTCTCTCTATTAATCTTACTAGAATTGTAGTTGGATGGTTGGATACAGATACCCAACATCAATTGACCAAGAATACCAAGTTGGGTTTAGAAACTCTGATATTGGTTCAACATGCTTAAGTTAGTTCCCCTGTTTTAATTATATGATTTAACTAGAAATTAATATAGCTCAAGTATAGAGACTAATAACGACAGAAGATCAATTCTTTGCATTGTTTAAGTCATCCAAACCAAAATCAGGGAAGATAGAGATGGGATCTTCCAGCTAAGTTGTTACAAGAAATGTGAATACGGACAATTGTTTTTAGTTTACGTGCCTGCTCGACAGCCGAGTTGAAAGCCACCAAATTAAAGTTCCTCTCAACTCATAGCACATAGACGACAAGTGTTTTCAAAGGGGTTAAGAAACAGAGGTTAATCAAGAAAATGATTAAATGACAAGACTTTTGCTTAGAAATATTGATTATCATGCTCATTGAAACGTAATTCAGTAAGAAAGATAAAACCCAGAGAGAGAGAGAGAGAGATAATCAAGATGTGTTTGGAAATATTAACAAGTTTAAATGTGTTTGGTGATAGAGATAATCGCAGAAGTAACCAGGCTCATTAACGGCGGCACGTAACAGGCAGTAGATCTTCACCCAGAAGAACTCCATGTGGTTGGCCACATCAGCCTCGTCCTCGACTCCTCATGTGGGAGAATTCTATCTAAAAGAATATCTCTTACAACGAAAAAGGCACCTTTCTTTTATAGAAATTCTGAATTGAAAATGTGGAACTCTGACAACTTGAAGCATCCGTTGAATCATGGGCACCATAAGAGATGTAAACTCGCAAATAACAGCCTCAATTTCCACGTGGCTTCACAGAAAGACCTTACTTGGCAAATGATTATCGCAACAAGCTGATGCGATAACCCTGAACTTTTATCTAAAAAATTATCACAACTGCTTTAACCTCCCCTGAACTTTTATATCTCCAAACTAACCTCCCTTATAATTATAAAATATCCCTTTCCTTAGTTTGATTAAAATATTAACCGAAAAACATTGATGTCATGCCTTTGAGTATAATAAGATTTCAATTTTCTCCAGGGATAATTGGCACTCATTTGACCGAAAAAATAAATAAAACACACACACACACAAATATTAAATATTAATGAAACAAAAAACAAAGGAATTTTTTCCAACAAACCCCTTTCTCTCCTCTTCCTTCTCTCTCACCAAACCTGCCTATTTTTATTTTTCTCAATGGCATTTCGGTGCTTTTATTATTATTTTTTATGACTAAGTGAGATATAAAGCTAACTTTATAATTTAGCACTTTTTATCTACTTAAATTAATGGAAGGAGAATGTTTTTATACTTTATTATTTGAAATGTAAAGGGAGGTTGACGGTTGTATTTCATTAATTTTTTTATTAGGGTTAACAGCGAAATTAGTAGTACTAATAGGTCAGATCAGAGATCGGTTTCAGTGCTCCACAAGACAGTATTTACACCGTTCGCACAGCCTTTTAAAACCGTGCTTTGGGAATATTTTGTATGCTTTTCTTTACGGAGAGATGTTTCCGATAGAACGCTATAAAAGACTGCGAGCGGTGTGAGCGGAGGACCAAATCCGATTTCGGTCAGGTGGTCGTACCGGCACCTCTCATGCGTCACATGCATTTAGGGTGGGACCCGCTAAGGTGGCAGTGCAGTCCAGCTCGCTCGTAGCATCCGTGAGGATCTCCGGACATCCAGATCGGATGGCACCCTTGTCGTAGCCGACAGCGACCCCACATTGTTGTGCGAAATGTACGGAAGGAGATGCAGAGTTGGAATTTTCCCGACTATGGAGTGTGGACCAAAAACCCTGACCCTGACCCTGACCCTGTGACCATCCTTTCTTTCTGGGGGTTGTGAAATCGATGATGGGACTTCGCCTTCAGGTGCTTGTCGCAGTCAAAACCAGCTGGACGCGCAACGTGTCTGCATTCAGCTGATTCTTTACCAGCAGTTTCAGTACGAGATGCAGATGCAGACGCAGACGCAGACTCGAAGGGTAGGTTATCCTTAGGTTGTGTTTGCTCACGGAAAAAGTAAAGAAATCTTTACAAAGTTTGTATGTATTTCCCTATTTTTCCTATCTTTTTTTTTTCAAACCAAACATAGCCTTACGGACTAATGGGCACTACCGCCATTTCCCACGCGCACTTAACCGTTTAGCTGGTCGACACTCGACAGATTGTTGACCACTCCGGATCTTCTGCACCTAAGACTTGGTTCAAATCTCCTCCACAAACTCTTCCCACATCCCCACCCATACAATACCACACGAGTGATTAATTTATGAGGATATGTTATCAATTCATGAAGGTAGTATCGTATCGTGTGGGTAGGATATCTAGAATGTTAATGAATTAGGAGTGATTAATATGTTAGTATTCCATACACATGATATCCACGTCCATACAAGTGTTATGAATATAGAACACTAACATATTCATTGGTAATTAGTTACACACAGCCTTTCAAGTAGCATATTTCAACTCATTGCCAACGTTAGGTTTGCAAAAAAGGTCGGATTGAATCGAATCCTGATGAATTTGATTCATTACTTCAAATCGGATCTTATTCATCAGATTTAGATCTATTGTTGCCGGTATTTTCAACAAGGGTTATCTGTAATCATAAATGAACATCAGAGACCCGAGGTGTGGATTCCACTGGTTGAGTCAAAATACTAAGAATAAAGAAGATGACTTAAAAGGCTCGGTAAAAACAAAACATGAAATGAGGTGAAAAGATGATCTAAGAAAGTTGGTGAGACATAATATGGGTGAAGTGAAAATATGAATATTAAGGTGTGCCAATGGGTATTGATGTAGCATGATTTGACTGCTTCCTGTTGGAGGATGATCTAGCTTTCAGTCGTACGGCGAGATAGGTAAATCTGCAAAATAAAATGAGAATTCGGGGTGGTTAGTCCGATGAGGTCGCTTCGATGCTTAAGTTAGTGAGCTGTTGCGAGCTGAAATCGTTTTGACAATGTAGAGAGCTAGAGAGTAGAGAAATCACACGTACCTTGTGCCCTCGGGGTTGGAGCCTTTATATAATTGAATCCTTGCGGGTTTTGCGGATCGGTTTCGGGATCTTCGTCATGATGGGATCCATTTCCGCTTTAATTGGAGGATAATGTTACAAATTGATAAGGCTTATCAATTCCTCCCGAACCGGGCAGGGAGGAGATACGACTTGCCGTTACATTGCGTGATCCCGTGAGATTCGGAATCCGTTGGGGGGTTTTTCGGGATCATCACGTGGTGGTCTGAGTCGGTATCCCCGAACTGATGCTTTTTAGTTCGGAACTGGATTGAATACCGAAGTGCCTTGGGGTCGAGGTGATCCTGTTGCGATCTTGTACCGAGGTGATCTCGTCCCGGGGTGACCTTGTCCCGAGGTGGTTGAATATCCAAGCTCAATCTGTTGTGGACTAAGCATGTCAGGTTGATTTATCATCTTAGTCAGGTTGTGTCCACGTGTCCCCTTTTTACTAAGTTGAGCCAAATCACCCTTCATCAGGTACAGATTGTATGGAGACAAAATCATGCAAATCATATTTGGTTAGCTTCGGTCAGCCTATCACAAGTGAATGCACCAATGTTACATATGCATTAGGTGTGGGTCTCACATGGGCCCATGTGTAAACATTGGTGTGTTCATATATATATATGAACACTTTTTAACAGAATTGAATTTTGACAAACCCATCCGCTACCTTTAGTAGTAAGCAACCAATAGAAGCCCTAACTTCTCCTTTTTAGGCATTTTACTAACGCTTTCCCAAATTAAGTTGCCAAAATGCCAATGATCTAATAGTTAAGTGATCATTTGACATCCCTTCTTTTAAGGAGGTGCTATCAGGTTCAAACTCTCAAGAAGAATACGTGAATGCCAATGGGCCCTTACTTGCATCCTTGGTACCACTAACCTTGCTAATAGGGTCTTGTGTGTGTAGTACACCAATGATTTGTAGAGTGGAAGTTTTAGACTAAAATTATCTTCTATTTCTTTGTTTGAAAAAGAGTATAAAAGTCATTTTATTATAGTTTTAACGGATACTAAATTGCCCAAATTTGTCTATTTAGTCCATCTCTAATTATAACGGTTAAAAATGTAACATCAATTATTACTTTCCACCTCATTAACTCCTATGCTTAAGGTATTAACTCTCATTTTATCTTATTAAATCCTACATTTAAGTTGTTTTTCATAAATAAATTTTATTAATTAGATCAATGCCAATATTTTTAACAATATAAACCCATATATTTTAAAACTGATTAAAAAACAAAATCATTCTTTATCCAAGTGG